TCTACCCCCCAGGAACGAGGTATGCTAACTTTCGCGCTATCTGGTTTATCTTGCCTTTGAAGGATCCTAACTTGAGCTTCGGAGCCCTTACGCCGGGTTCTCCCCGGAGCTTCTCTTCTCCTTCCGTTTCAGGTCCCTGTTACTCAATTCAGAGGCAAGATCATCGACAGCTAAGACCGGCCAGATTGCGCACCATCAGCGCCTATGTGTCATAAATGCCCTCATTAAATGCTTGTCTCAGTTTTGCAGTCACACAAGTACGAAATGTTTATTGGATAAACGTAAATGGAACCAAACACCCTCAAAGTTTTTTCGAGTATATGCAAAAATAAAAATTCAACAAGCACCCTCTTCATGGCTTATTGTGTATATACATACACACTATATATTAGGGGTGGCAATTTTTCACCCAACCTGCCCATTTACTTGGTGGGTTGTGTGATCAACCCGTCACCCAACCCGCCCATTTAAATGGGTTGGGTTGGATTGGGTTGTGGATAACCATTGGGTTAACCATTACATACATTAGTATTAATTCCTTAGCCTTTTTTTATTTTCTTCATTTAAATTAAATAATTTATAATTAATGTATTAATTATTTACTAAATTTAGTTTTGTCTTGAATCAACATACTTTACCCAACATAAATCCAAATCAATTTGACCCAAGTCCAGACCAGTTCAACGCGGTCTAACCCGATCCAACATATACCAATCTAGGTCAATTCGAATCCGAAATAGACCTCAGGCGGGATGGCTCGGTACCGCTTGCTTTGCCTAGTTTGGGTCGTTTGGTCCAACTATTATTCACACAACAAGGCTTGACCCGGTAGAAGCTGATTTGGGGTCGACCCAAATCTGAAACAGGTGGGGTCTGAACCCTAAATCGCCCCGCTTGCTTTGCCCGGTTTGGATCATTCAATTCAGTTCATATCCGTACAACCTGACCTGAATTTGGCCCGGTCCGATTTACTTCTTTTGACCCGCTTTGGGCCAATCTTTTGGCCCCAAACCCATGCACTAACCTGATACGAGCCGACCCAAGTCAATCCACCATTTGGCTTAACCGGTCCAGTCTGGTCTGACTAGATTGAACCATCCCGGTCAGGGCCTAGCCTGATCGGGTTTTGTCCGATCGGACTGAACCGGTTCGGGTGGGGTCTAGTTCAACCGGACTGATTCGGATCTAAATGGTTCAACAATTCTTGAACTTGATGTGATTACCTCGAAGACAATCCAATTAGATAATTCAAGTTGGTCTGACCGATTTGAACCTATGTGGTTTGTCAAATCTGAAACCTGAACATAGCTTGTATAAAAATAATATGCATGTAATGTGATTTGAACCTTCACCACTTGTGCAAATAACAACTACTATTACCACTAAGCTATGACTAACTTATTTTTTAAAAAATAGTTATTTTTTTTTGTTTTAATTACATAAATATAAAATTAATGGGTTTGAACGAATTGAATTAGGTTAAAGTAGGTTTGAGTTGAACTCAACCCATTTGATTTTATATAACTAGGTCATTAACAGGTTGGGAGGTTAAATGAGTTGGTTTGAAACTCAACCCAACCCAATCCGCCCAATTGCCACAACTAGTATACATTATAGTAGGAGATGATTATACGGTTGTTCTAGATTAGATATTGTCCTCACAGAATTTGTCTTTACATCATCCTTGCAATAATTGCAACGCAATATCTCCAGATTTATATGTTTTTATTCATGGGTAAATGTTTTCAATGCCCGACTGTAACTTAATGAGGATGGTTTCGAGGATGAAGTTTGTAAGGACATTCAAATTTTCTCAAAAATACTAGTAAAATTATTAGTTTACCTGAGATCAGATGTACGCTAGACCTAATTAGTGGGTTATGTTTTTTGGGCTTCAAGGGGCTACACAACGGGGGTAGCCCATAGCCCAAACCCATAACCCCCTATCCCAGTGAATGAGGAAATCAATCCCTGGTCTTTGCTACAACCTCTCTCCTAACCTTATAGTTTTTCCAATTCCTAAAAAAATCTCTGCTACAACCTCTCTCCTAACTTGTTTAGTTTTTCCGATTCCTAAAATTACTGCTACTCTCTCTCTTTTTATAGTTAAAAATTAGGATCTACATGTTTCCCTACCTTTTTTTTTTCAAACCAAAAACAGCCTTATTCCTCTCTAGCCTCTCTTACCCCTCAAAACCCTGGTCTCTTGCATTGGTTTTTTATATCTACTAGTAAATGTGTACGTGCAATGTAATTCCAGAGAACAATAATAATTTTATCATTCTTATCATACCCCATGAAAAATAATAAGTAAGCAAACACAATGTGCCAATGGGTTTAAAATTTTCATTATATTTCTACTGTTAATATAAATTCTTTTTATTTATCATATTTATTTTTTATTTAATATGATAAATATGTAATGCCAAACATGTACACAAAATTTTCTACAATTTTATTTGTATTTTCTATATACTTTTTGAATTTTTATTATATAATTATGACATCATGGGTTGAGTCATTTTTGAGTGTCTTATATTTTCATTTACATTCGATAATGAATTATAAAAGTAATTCTTATTTATCACACTTATCCTTATTTAATATGATAAATATATAATATTTGAGATGTGCCAAATTTTTCTATATTTTTATAGTTCTTTTGCATTTCTATATTTTTTTTATTTTTATTATTTAATTATGACACCTTTAATTGACCCATTTTACTTAAATGGTTGGAGCATTGACCTACCACTTAGATGGAAAAGTAGTTTTCTTTTTGAGTTAGTTTCAATTTTTTTATTCTATTTCTATCATTAACAAGAAATCATTCTTATTTATTAGACTTATTTTTGTTTAACAAAGTGAATACATAACTCAGAGACAGTTGGCTTGTTTGACATAAAAGGTTTAACCATTGGCCGATCACCGTAATAGAAAAACAGTTTCATTTATGGGTTGATTTTAAATTTTGTAGTTTATTTTCATCATTAATCAAATGCTTCTTATTTATCATACTTATTTTTGTTTAACCTGATGTATATAATATCATATTTATTTTCATCATTAATAATTTTTTTTGTTTAACATGATTTTTTTCAAAAAAAAAAAAAAGATATCAGAGATGTGCCCAATCATTTTCAAGAAAAGAATTATTTTATGTAATTTGTATATTTTTAGTTTATTTTTAAAGTTGTATTATTTAATTATAACTTCATGGCTTATCCATTTGACTTGAATGATTGAAGTACTTACCCCCCACAAGGATAGAACAATAGCTTCTTTTTTAGGTTACTTTTAAACAAATAAGTTTTGCATTGTTTAAAATTATTGGATAATAGTTTTTCCACTACATAGATTTTGAATTTATTTGTGAGGAACATAAATACCTAAAATATAAGACCATTGAAAAAGAATTAAAGTTAACACCTTACATATTGGACTTAATAAGAGAAAATTGAATCAATAGAATTAGTAGTTTTAATTATATTTTATGCCCTCATAATTAGAGAATGGCCAAATTCAAAGGTAAGGGCATTTTAGTCAATAAAAAATTACAAAGCCCATTTATTTAATATGCCTTAATTGGAGGAAATGAGAGTTAATAGCTTGAATATGGAACTTAATTTGAAGAATAGAATGAACTTAAAAGTAGTATCAAGATTTTCTTGACCTCACAATGAAGATAGACCAAATTCAAAAATATGATTATTTTAGTCAATAAAAATTTTAAAAATCCAGACCTCATTCCCACTTTAAATAGTAATATAGATTTTTTTTTCTAATTATTAATGTGGTTGTTGTGCATTAGACAAATTTTCTTTAAAATAAAAATATATCATAACATGGGCCACACTCTTTAAAATTTGTTTGGCACTTTAAATCAGAATGCTTTTGTGGCACTATAAAATTCAATCCAGTATGTTCCTCGTGTAATAGCCTAATAGGTAGGTGGAGTTTCTCCAAATCAAGAGAACTACCCCACTAAAAGACAAAGAAAATAAGTGATTCAGTTCAGCACTTTCAGCCATCATTGAATGGCCCCAGACCCTTCAAAATGACTTTTCCTTAACTCTTGTGCCCGTTTCAATACGCTGTGGAATCAATGATAAAGTATAACATCAACATTTAAATACATAGGATTCACATTTTTACAGTGGAGTCATGAATTTATTATGTGGAATCTTGTCATTGGTTTCACAGTTTACTGGACAGTTAAAGCGTTTAGCTAATCCGAATTCTTCAAGAGCGGCTTTCCGTTCTGTAAGTAGCCCCATATAAACAGAGTCCAGAATAAATAAGCCTTGTTTGGTGAACACTCGAGAAAACTCATATATGCCGTTGTACAATCAAAAGAACCGGCTTTCTCTGTGAAAACAGTTCACTGGTTCAATCAAAACTCAAAAGCATCAGCGGTTCAGCCCTCCCAAGCGGGCCCTTAAAAGCAAGGCACCATCTTCGAAGCAAACCTTTGGTAATTGGTACCTTTGGGCTATGGACCGGCTAGAAACATGGTCCACCAGTCCGGAACCATACAAAGCTTTTGGTCCATATGGGTATTCAAGGAGAAATAAACATGTGGACTACCTAATTGCTTCGTTCTGCAGTGGTGGGCCCCCACACGTGAATTATCCAGATCTAATCAATCCTAGTGGGCTATATGTACGGTTTAGGGTCCATTAAAGGATAGATACCTAATGGACCTCAAGTCCAAATCCAATTGAGCTTTTTTCTTACCATTCCCTTTTATCTCTCCGAAACAAAAGTCTATAGCTTTAGGTCCAATAGGTTGTAGGCTCAAGCCCATTAACTCTATCCCCCTCTCACGCTCCCCCCCTCTCTCTCTCTGCAAAACCCTAGATTACCAAAAGTGAAAGAAGCCCGGCCATTGTATCCGATCGGCAGACTCGTCCTCGCCGTGGATCTCCGCCGTAAGGAGCGGCGCAAGTAAAACTCTAACCTTCTTTTTGTGTGCTAGTTTTGCAGAGTTTAAGCTTTTGATTCATTGTTGTTCTTGATGTCAGGATCGAAACTGTTTACGTTTCCTTCTGATTTATTCCCCTACGATGTTCTGTTCCCTTTGAAAATCTGATTTCTCTTCTCTCTTGCCGTCTTTCTTTGATGGATTTGTACGGATGTAGACTCTTGTAATGTTTTTGTTCGTTTCATGCGAAGCTGTGAGATGGGTTTTAGCTTCTTCGTCTCTGTAGAGAAGATTACAGGGCCATTGGTGTGAGATGGGTTTTGTTCTTAGTTAGAAGAGTTATTGCCTTATTGGAGGCTTCTGGTGATTTGCTTGACGTAGGTTTAAGCGGAAATTCGTAGATTTTGGCGAAGCCCATGGCGGATCCGCCATTATTTGAGCTGTCATGGACTGAATCTTTTCGAGCTAAAAACGATTCATAAAACTCTGCTTGAGCCCAAGCCCTAGCCCGAACGAAGCAATGATGGGCTTCAAACTGAAGGTGGGATGCCGACTCAATTCATGAGTAGCCCTTTTGTCCATTGGGGGGCTTGGGACAAACATGGGCTTAACCATATATGAAGGTTTTATATCCAGCCCAAGCCAATCTGTTAGCCAGTCAGCTAGGGTGGCTAGACTCCGGGTGGACCAGGTTACCGGTTTGTTTCTGTCTTAAGTACTGATGACGTCACTGCCGGTTGGTCTGATCTGTTGGATTTTATGGTGACGACTTGGGACTACTGATTAGGGTTGTCCATGGGAGTTGAATAGTTGATGAGTAATCGAGTAGCTCGTATGAAGGAACAACGTAGGCTGAATAGGGTTGTCAATGGATTGGCCACTTGGCCTGACCCAACAGAACCAGACCAACCTGACCCAATTATATATAGGGTATGGGTCTGCATTACATGTCTCGATTATGATTGGGTTGTAACTTGGAGCTGGTTTTGGTTGTTCCCAATTAGATGTTTGTATAGATAATTAGTCTGTATTACCCTGTTTTTCTCATGATACACTTGTAGTATCATGTTATAATGTCCAGGTGTGTCAAACTATAGGTTCAAAGTGTCAATTATAATGGGGTCTTATTTGGGTCAGACCTGCTAGCCGCCTAACCCTGATTATTAACTGGGTAAGTTCTGGGTCTGTTATTACAACTGGTTCTGCACATTTATTTATTTGGTCAGGACACCCTGACTTAGACTACACCTGACCAATTGACAGCATTAGACCTGATCATTCTACTTCAGCAATACAAGGTTTCAATGATCCATATGTATTATGCTGTTTCTTTGGAGTTTGAAACTTTGAATGCACATTACCAGATGGTAGTTCTTCAATCAAGCTTATGTATATATGTATGTACACTTAACACTGGGTGTAAATTGCTTTGTTTTGACAAATTAAACTTGAATTTAATATTGAATGGGTAATTTTATATATTGTAGGTTGTACAAATAATTTTTAGAGTTTAACATCTCTGCTTTGAAAATTTTTCCTGGGTGATTGGTAATGTAGAAAGTTAATGCTGCTCCTAGAAGCTCTTCCAATATGGCTACCTTTTGGGCTTTCTGTAAATGATAATTATACGGTGCCAGTTTGCAGTATAGGCCTATTTTAGGACTCTTCATAAGATGGTTAGGTTAGCCAATGTGATGTTTTGGCTCTGGACAACTTGAGTTGGTTATTCAATGGGCCATGTAATACCAGCTGCTATACAATGGATTCAATGAAGCTCCTAAAAGGAAACTATATCTATCCGGGCAGCATGTACAACTGCTCAAATTCAAAGGAGAAGATGGATCACTTCTCTTAACCGATTTGAACAGCAGAATGTGATAGTATTTTCAGTTGAACTTCTGTCATCAAATATTCTATTGGCATTTCATATATCTGCAATTACTAATGTTTATTATTAATGCACAAGTCCACAATAACCGTCTTAATATATTTGTCTTCACCATGATTGTTTATAAAGTTACTGGTGAAGAGAACTCATTCAGAGTGGGTCTAATGTTTCTGTTGCAAAGCTTAAAATTAGCCTATTCTTCATGATGGAGTGGATTAGTAGTTGAAGGGCACTGTCTGGTAGAATTTGTAGTATTTGTTGGCTGATCACTGCATAAGAGGGTATTTGGCCTCTCAGATTTCCTCTGGGAGACAAAAGCCATTTCTGCCTTGATGAACACCCTGTTCTGGTGGGCTCCCTTATCTGCAAATGCTTTGGAAGATGCACTTGCTAGTAGTGATGGGGAAACCAAGTTTTGTTTGGGGAGTGCAAGATATAAATGTACTGGCTGTACCTTTGTTTTTGTTTCATTCAGCTTAAAGCTGTCATGTATTAGAACATGTTTTGTCCCTGCTATTAGACCTCCCTTGTAGGAGTTGCCACCTCATTCTTTCTACTCAATTCAATTGTCTGACTATTACTGATTAAAAAATTCTCGTCACCAAAGCTGCATCTTTATTGAAACCATTGTGCTTGTGAGTTTATTTTATTTTCTAATACTCCTTGGGAGGTACTATGTATGATGCTAAAGAAGTTGGTTCTTGAGTTAAAAATTTGTAATCTGTGACAAGTATAGTTGGCCAGGTGACATGAGTAGATGATCTCCTATGAGCTCCTTTCAGATGATTTCTAGAACCAGAAGTTAGCATGAGCATAGGAAGTTTATCTTTCTATGATTCTTTACACTTGTAAGGAACTTTCACCAGAGTTCTTCTGAATCTTTTAGAACATTTTCGAGCCAAACAGTTGAAACCCCAATTGGTTGATTATTGGCTGTATTGATCTCTTTGTATGAGTTCACTAATGTTATCTTATAATCCTTGCATGCTTCTTTGCACACACACAGATCTCCCTCTTGAGCACTTGTTTATTTATTTGTTCATCAAAGCAGGGGCTTGGTTCCAGTCTAAGATGTTAGCAACAACTGAAAACAACGAGCCAATTAGTACAGAACCAACACAGTCTAACAAGCGAAGGAGAAAGAAGTCGATTGTGTGGGAGCACTTTACTATAGAACCTGTAGGTGCTGGATGTACAAGAGCTTGCTGTAAGCAGTGCAAACAAACCTTTGCATACAGTACAGGTACAAAACTAGCAGGGACCAGCCACCTGAAACGACACATTATGTTAGGGACCTGCCCAGCAACTCGTCGTAATCAGGAAAAGAATCAATTAACACCGTATACTCCAAACTCAAAACCTGGTAGTGCTACTGATCCTCCACCAAGGAGACGCTATAGAGCAAGTCCTGGCACACTAAGTTTGTTTGATCAGGACCGCTGTCACCATGAGATTGCTAAGATGATCATCATGCATGAGTATCCACTTCACATGGTAGAACATCCTGGCTTTGTAAGCTTTGTCCAAAACCTTCAACCTCGTTTTAGTATGGTAAATTTTAGCACTGTCCAAGGTGACTGTGTAGCTCTTTACCTAAGGGAGAAACAAAGCCTTATGAAGATTCTGGAAGGGACTTCTGGGAAGATCAGTCTTGCCTTAGACTTGTGGACATCAAATCAAACCCTAGGCTATGTGTTTGTAATGGGACACTACATCGACAATGAATGGAAGTTACAGCGGCGAATTCTTAATGTTGTGATGGTACCATCTATTGAAAGTGGAAATGCATTCAATCATGCTGTTGCTACTTGCCTTTCTGATTGGGGTTTGGAAAGCAAGTTATTTGCTGTCACTTTGAATCAGCAGCTCTTGAATGATAGTGCAAATGGAGATATTAGAGGTTACTTCTCCATCAAGAATCCAAATATGCTTAATGGCCAACTACTAATTGGCCATTGTTACGCCCATGTTTTAAGTAGTGTTGCACAAGATGCATTGGGAGCATTGCAGGAAATCATCAACAAAGTTCGGACAAGTGTGAAGTTTGTGAAGACGTCAGATGCCCATGAAGAAAAGTTTATCGAGCTTAAACAACAACTTCAAGTTCCCAGCACAAAGAGTCTGTCCATTGATGACCAAAAAAAATGGAATACAACATATCACATGCTGGTGGCTTCCTTAGAGTTAAAGGAAGTATTTTCATGCTTGGATACCTCTGATCCTGATTACAAGGAAGCCCCAACCATGGATGATTGGAAGCAGATTGAGACTCTATGCATATACTTGAAACTTCTATATGATGCAGGTAACTTGTTAACCAGTGCAACATACCCAACTGCCAACACATTCTTCCATGAGGTATGGAAAATCCAATTAGAGCTGACCCATGCAGCAACGAGCCAGGATCCCTTTGTAAGCAGCCTTACCAAGTCAATGCAGGAGAAATTTGATAGATACTGGAGGGATTGTAACCTGGTCTTAGCAATTGCCGTTGTTATGGATCCTCGGTTCAAGATGAAGCTTGTGGAGTTCAGTTTCTCAAAGATCTATGGTGATGATGCGGGTGAATATATCAGGGTTGTAGATGAGGGAATTCATGAACTCTTTCTTGAATATATGGCACAACCCCTTCCTCTAACACCAACTTATGTGGAACGAGAAACTCCCAAGACAGAATCACCGGGTGGTATCCTTCTGTCCAGTGGTGATGGACTTCTGGATTTTGATGTCTTCATTTCAGAGATGTCAAGTAGCCAAAACTCCAAGTCTGAGCTGGACCAATATCTGGAAGAGTCACTGTTGCCCCGGATACAGGAATTTGACATCTTGAGTTGGTGGAAACTGAACAACCTCAAGTATCCAACACTTTCCAGGATGGCTCGAGATATTTTAGCAATCCCTGTATCCCCTGCCTCAGCTGATTCTGTATTCGATACCGAAATCAAAAGGCTTGATTCCTACCGGAGTTCCCTTCGTCCTGAGACAATCGAGGCCCTTATTTGTGCCAAGGATTGGCTTCCTCATGGAACGCCCTCTGCTGAGCTTTCCAAGGCCATTGTGAAAATGGAATTTTGAATTTATGTTATTTCCTTTTTCTTTTTTGCTCATCTTGAAGTGTTTAAGCTTCAGACAGTAGCTTATTTCTATGGGTTTTCTTTGGATTTAGAACTCACAACAGCTGTAATATGTGTTCATAGTTTTCTTTGGTAGGTTGGATAAATTTTGTCTCTTTGATATCGTTCTTGTTTCTTGGGATAGTTGGATACCTGACATTGGTCCGTTGTGACTTGTGATCCATGACTATGAGTGACAACATGTGGTTCTAAAAATTTCTTAAAAACTCAAAGACTCTTTTACTATTTGACTCCAGTCAATGTTGTTTTAATTGAAGTATCCTATTTCCTCTTTTACTCTCCTCCCGTCACTCATCTGCTTTCTTGAGTCAATAAAATAGCCAGCTAAGGTCTGAGGTGGTTTCATTCCAAGGCATGAGCTGAAACTCATCTTGCTTATCTGCTTTTTACTAATACTTGGGCCTAAACTGAATTAACCAAGCTTGAGACTGTATTGCTATAATAAGGTGACAGGTAACAAAGCCTGGTTACTGGGTTCTTACACTCAAGGCAAGCTTATCTAGGCACTCGATAAACCACTACTCAAGGCAAGCCTATCTAGGCACTCCATAAACCTGTCATCCAGATAACTGGTCCATTTGAGGACTTGATTATGGGTTTACTCGGTGTGATATGAGTTTCAAAAAATTGGGCCCTAAAAAAGCGAGGCTTGGGTGACAAGGTGTTTTTATGGGGTATGTGTTGAATAAAAAGAAAAATGTAAATATGTAATATATAAGCAATATAAGATATCATTAGTAGAATATATACTATATATAAAAGTGTGGATACAAAGTACAAGTTTTGTGGACTAAAATTATCTTCTATTTTTTTATTTGAGAAAGTATATAAAAGTCATTTTATTATAATTTAATGTCAACTTATATGACTACTAAAATGTCCATATTTGTGTATTTAGTCTATCTCTAATTGTAAGGGTTGAAAATATAACTTCAATTATTACTTTTCACTTTATTTAATTCCCTCTCAAGTCTTATACTAAAAGTATTAACTCTCATTTTCTCTTATTAAATTCTATATTTAAGTTAATTTTCACTAATAAATGCTACTAATTAGATCTATTTCAATATTTTTAACAATATAAACCCATATATTATAAAACTGGCTCAAAACAAAACCATTCTTTGTCCTAGTGGTGGTTAAGCAATTCAACCATCTAAACCAAAATGATCAATCTATGAAGTCATAGTTAAATAACAAAATTTTTAAAATAGAAATAAATATAAAAATTACAAAAATATAGAAAAAAATAGACACATTTATGATATTTTTATTAATCAAATTAGAAAAAGTGTAATAAACAAAAATTATTTTTATTGATAATGAAAATAAAATACATAATTTAGAAATAACCAAAAATGAAATTATTTTATTGTTTGACAAAGATCAATAGTTCAACTCTTGGGTCAAATGTGTTAACATTTAATGTCATAAATAAATAATAAAACTTAATAAAGTATAAAAATACAAAAAATGAAAAAATACATAAATTTTATAAAAAAATCAAGCACAAGTATAATATCATATAATTATCATATTAAACAAAAAGTAAGTGTGGCATATCAGAATTATTTTTACATGCAAAAATACAAATATATATATATATGTATATAGAAAAAATTAAACACATATATAATTCTATATTTACACTACTATTAAAAATATGAATAAATTGAACTACTACTTTTCATTTTTGAATTTAGTCCATATTTAATTATGAGGTTTAAATTATAAATTGAACTACTACTTTTCACCTCATTCCCCTCTATTTAAGTCTTACATGTTTTTGATAAATGAACAAAAAGATATATATACACCAAAAAGATATAACATTACAAAAAAAGAATTTAACCGAGCTGGGAGGCTTGTCAATAATATTTCAAACTTCACAACTCGATCTGATAATTACATATTTGGATGAGACGTTTATGTAATCAAATTTGGATTTTGCAATATGCATTTGATTAATAAAAAATACATATTTATAGAAATCTTTTGATACATTAATCCTATCATTATCATCATCTAGAATTGTCATGTACAAAGCATGTGCACGCTTACCAATTTACTTAAATAATCCAAACAGGCCTATCCATTTGTAGTAATTTAGATGTTATTATACAATTAGATAAAAGGGTAAAATACTAAACTTCCCATGTTTTAGAAAATGCACTAAAACTTATCATATTGTTTGAAAAAAAATTGTTTAAAGTATCCCCAAATTTTTTGACAATTGACAATTGGCAGCATCCATTAATGGAAAAAAAAGGAGAAGACTATTTTAATCTTCTTTCTTCTTCAAATTTTTAAAATTTTGCCATTTAGATGTCAAAACTTTATTTGATTGCTTTTTAACAGGATGTAATCAAATATGATCATACCAGTCCAAAAGAGGAGAAACACCACACAACAATAATTCCAGCACTCCAAATATCAATTTTGTGGTGCATAGTTACATTTCAATAGGTAAGCTGGGTACGTAATGTATTCATCATTCTTTGATGGTATATTTCTAAAGAAGAAGACTCCAGTGATGGTGAGGATGGGTTAGTAGTGTGATAGTGGCGTTGGAGGTGATGGCGTGATTTGTTGATAGAGATTAGAGAGGGAATGCTAGAAATACAAGTGGAGACAAACACAGGAACTCAGATCCAATGAAAATTTTGAAAGCAAACAGGGAATAATGAGGAAAATTAGCAAAAACAAAATTTGACAATGCTCTCAGGCCCTGTTTGATGATTTAAGTACTTATTAAAAAAAGTACTTGTTACTTAAGGCTGTCTGGTAACCCACTTTTCAAATCACTTATTATGTTTTTAAGCACTTATTGGGGTAGGGATGTTTGGTAAGCTACTTTCCCCATAAGTGTTTATATTGACACAAATGACAATTTTACTCTCCATTGTAGATTACTCAGACCTCTTCCTCTCCCTCTCATTTTCTTCATCAGAACTGTCGAAACTGTCGGAACTGTAGATTGGACAACAGAAAGACTCCTCCTATTAACAACCTTCACAAAATTCTTGGATTCCCATTTCCGCCTCCCGAGTTTCTCTTGACTCCCTCTTCTTCTTTCGTTGTCTTCTAGCTTTATCCCCAGCTAGTATGTTTGATATCTTAGCATCTAGTTTGCCTTCAACTTCATGCCTGGGAGGATTTTGTTGCTTCCAACTGATATCTTACAAGGTCCAACTCCCGATGCTCAAACTCAAAACCATAGATTTTGTTGTCGTTCAACCAGAATCATTTTCGTATTTTGGAGGAAAACGAAGGATTTTGTTATCTCCGATTGATATCTTACAATTTTCGGTGCTCAAACCCAGGACCATGGAAGCTTCAGTAGAGAATATCTTAAAAAAAAAATTGTAGACAAAAAGAAAACCAAAATTTTTTGTTGTTTTTGTGAGAAATCAAAGAATTTTGATAAGGGTTTTGTAGAAGAGCATGAATCTGACCTGCCCATTTCCCCATTTTCTAATGTTGGTATTGGAGCCCTTTCCTACAACCGTTCTTACCTATATTGTAAGAACCTCCACCGCTTTTCCGTACCTCCTCTCATATGAAAATGGGCATTTTCAGGGTAATTCTCTCCCAATCTCTCAGTTTTTTTCCCATAAATTGTAGCTTCAAATTTTCTTTATTTTTTTTTCTATAGATGGATTCAAGGAAATTTTTTGGTTTCATTAGTGTTTTGAATTCTTCATCTTTTGCGTTAGTGTTGATCTGTTCACCGCTTACAAGACCTATAAGAATGGTTGTAGGAAGGGAAAAGTGGTGGACCTATAAGAATGACTGTATTAACTATACACCCAACTCCGCCGGTTGGCTTTCGCTCACCGTGGAATGTCACCGGTGGACCTGCAACCAAACGCCGCCGGTGGATCTGCAACCAAATGCCGCCGCTACCTGTTGTTGTAAGATTCCAAATGGAAGAATAAGATGATAAACTCGAGTAGGGGTAGTTTTGTCATTAAAGAAAAAAAATAGGGACAGGTTTGTCCTATTCGAATGAAGAAGCACTTCTTCAAAAAGTGCTGAAAAAAAAACCACATCCATGTCACTTTTTTAATAATAAGTACTACTTACCCTCTTTTTTACCAAACACCCATAAGCACTTAAAAACCACTTATTGTGTGGTTCCATCTCTTAAAAGAAGTACTTGTTTAAATAAATACTTCTTTTATTCTCAAACACTACCTCAATTCCAGAGACATGATCTGACACGTTTGCAATGACGGATCACGAATGTGTTGACTGTCGAATGTAGTTGAGTCTTGACAATTTTATCACTTATCAAATGAAAAACTTTCTATTGGAGCATTTTTGTTTCTCAATTTTCTTCTTCTCTTGTGTCAAATCTATTGGGAAAATGACGGTTCAGCCTAGGGTCATAATTTATAGGCTAAAAGTACATTTGGGATAAGTGCCAGCTTGGAATTGATGCCAATTCACGGGCGAATATGAGTACATAGAGTGTGGTTTTTTTACCTTTTGAATGTTTATAACTCTGTATTGGAAATCAGAAATCTGCATTGGCCCTGTCCTTACTTCTCCAAATCTCTTTCCTAACGAAATTATGCCACTCTGGGATATTCATGGACACTCAACTTGGTGATGATGTTGTATGGTTTTGATATTATCGCTAAGGGATTTCTCTAAACTAAAACTATTGATTGTAGTCTTCAAGAAAGAACTTTTAATCTCCATTTTCATGTTGAACTACTCTAGAAAGGCCAATTAATTATGGGAGAAGTTCGACATCAACATGGTATTCGTTTGATTCTGAGAGAAGTTCATGAAAATATCAACACAGACCATAGAATGTGGATTCGATACCTAAGTTTGAACCCAATCTCTCCACTTTTGTAGCCCATGAATGTTTTAACCTGTAGGGAAAAAAATGATGACAATTATCCAAGGTTTTTAAAACTGATTCGGACAACAAACCGGTTAGGGGTCTGGTTCTCGAGTCGAACGGTCTGATCGTTCGAACCGAACGAACAACCTGTTTTGATAAAAAATTTAAAAATTTAAAAATTAAAAGAAATGGTCTAAACTGTTGAACGATTCAATCGTCCGATCAACGGTTTATTGACCAGATCAACATTTTTTGGCAAAAATCTGGTTTTGGGAAGTTATCTTTTAACATATCTTTTAAAATATGTTATCTTTTAAAAATCATGCAATTATCTTTTAACATATCTTCAAACGGAGAAACAAAGAGAAGTTATGTTTATTAGATGAAGCATGAACATATATAATTAAGTAGCACTTGTTTATGACTTTATTCGTCTCAACTTAACGAAATGCAATTTTCCATGCAATATCTCTCATTTGCTTTCTTGAAGGACAAATTTTTTAAAGTACTCCTAAGTTTAAGAAATTCACTTATTCACCCTACTGTTTAGAAATTGTCTTAAATTATCCTTCAAGTTTTTTAATAATTGACAATCGTGGGCAGTTGAAAAATAAGAAAGACTATTTTTACATTCATTCTTCTTCAAATTTTCAAAAATGGAAATATTTAAATAAATATATATCAAGATTGAAATAAACTATTAATACATAAATATCATTTATAGATGAATGAAACTAAGAATCAAATACTTCATTTAGTTAATTTAAATAAGAAAGTATCTCAAACGACAAGAACCCAAAACCAATGTCTAGCTTTGCGTGATAAGAGAGAAAGAGATGGTTAAGAAAAAGAAAGATAGTTCTGAAGATGGGATTAAGCTTTTTGTAAAAAAGAACATTCCCACTAAAAAGCAGAAGGGAAGATGAGTATTATTGGTTAATTTTAAAAAATACCACGGATGGATTTGTGTCCGAGTTTTGATTTCCCATAAAGTTGTTTATACCATATTGAAAAGATTCATATAATAAAATCACTCATCACTCATTAGCGTCTAATACCCAAATAAAAAGGGAAAAAACGAGTTCAAATCTGCCCCAACCGCCTGGCGCCCCAAAAACGTCCCACACACACTCTCCCCTCAGCGCGTGTAGAGTTAACGGAACGGCCGTTAGTTCTGAACCAGCGCCCAAAACCAAACTCTCGACCTGGACCTGTGCAATCTTGCACTCCTCCGATCCGATCGTCTCCAGTGTCGATGACCATTGCGGCAGAAACACTTAAGGTATGAATCCGTCCCTCTCATCTCATCTCTCTTATAATTTACTTTTTTTTCGATTCAAAACAAAGGAGAGGTTTCACCCACCACCGGCCATCTCCGGCAACCACCAGCAACAATATATAGGTGTGCGTTTTTTGCTCTCTTCCATCTACTCTATTTTTTTATTTTACATTTGCATTTTTCCCCAAACTGTTACAGTGATATATATTGCCGATTTTTTCTTCTTACTCATCATATAAAACATGAAAATGGTAGCTTTCATTTCCCTAACTTTTTTTTTTTTTAATAAAGAAGACATGATATTTTCACTCTTTAGAGTTTAGAGTCCAAAGTCCAATGATTTGCGTTAATATCAAACTAATATAACGACAACATTTTAATTCCTTCCTCTTTTCTTATTACAACAGAAGTATCACTAAAGTTGCTTCATTTTACCCACCAAGCAGGCAATAACCGAGTAGACTGGTCGATCTAAACATGTCTGAAGGATGTCAGGTTCCTGTAACTCATCCAAGCCTTCTCCCACACAACGGCCTCGTAGTTGTTGGTGACACCCTTGTCCGTTGCCTCTAGTATAAGCCGATAATTGAATCCGGCGACGTTTTTGGGTCTCACCCCGCACCACCTTTTGGAACTGGAGGTTGGTTTTGGCATCCTTGTTGTACTTGTCGAAGAGAAAGAAGGAAACCAAGAGGGGAATCGGGAAGAGAAGAAGAGACTGGATTTTCATTCTCTAAATCGAGAGTTTGGTTTTGGGCGCTGATTGTAAACTAACGGCCGTTCCGTTAACTCCACACGCGCTGAGGGGAGATTGTGTGTGAGAGAACAACTGGTGGCCTCCCATTGTGTGCCACGTTTTTGGGGCGTAAGCATGGTCTCAAATCAACTCTGAAGTCATCCCATTGTTGCAGACCAGATCTTCTCCTCACACCTGGCGTCTCACAGGCGTCTCATATGCACATCCTATTATGCATTGTGAACATCTCTGTGGGGCGCCCATTTGTGAGGAGCAGATCCCTTTTCCCCTCACCCCCACACAAAACTGTCCCCACAATTTTTCACAGCACATCCCCGTTGTATATTGGAAACATTTCCCGATAATAACATCATTCTGGATATTATCCTAATATACGGTGGGAATGTGTTGTGGGCCGGTGGGGAGGCAGTCTTGTGAGGTCTCCTTGATCCTCTCAGACATTTTCAAAGATGTGCTCAGGAGCCTAGTGAACCATACTAGATCTGTTCTTGGCAAATTATTGATCAAATTTACTAGAAATATGATGAAGAGATCATTTGCCGAGTCCGTGTGAACCCGCAAATAGGAGAAAGACACGTGACCATGTCAACGATAACGTGTGTTTGAGCGTTAACACAGTTTGGTCGATTCAATTGGATACGAACCAGTCACGACACCTAGAGATCCTTCCATCAAATCCTCCCCATACACCGAAACCCTTCCTCCATTGCAGCAATAAGGAGTAGGGCTGCAAGTCAGGCCGGGTTAGGTTAGATTGAGGCCAATCCTAAGTTCTAAACCCCAACCCTAACCCTAACCCTAACCCAACCCAACCACCCCAACCCTAACTAAATTCCTTAAACCCTAACCCAACTTAATCCAATCCGAAGTCAATTTCGAGTTGGGTGGGCCCAACCCAACCTTCTTCCCATCCTTTAAAATCTCATATAATTTCTCAATTTTAGATCTTAACTCAACTTTCAATACATATATTGATTCTATGTTTCATTAGTATTTATTTGTTATTATACAAAATTCAGAAAAAGCAAATGTTAGAAATGACTATACTTTATTATGAATTATGACTTAAAATAGATTTTTCTTAAGGGACAAACAATATAAAGGAAATGAAGAATAAAATTTTCAAAAAACACAAAATAATGTTATTAGGGTTTTAGACTTTCTTATTAGAATTAGGTGAAGTGATTATCTTAAAAGAAATATATGATAATATGTAGTGGGGGCTATGCAAATATCATCCATCTAAACAAATCAATGACATATATTTATATATGATATAGTCCGGTTCACGTTAGGTCGGGCAACCCGAGGTAAAGTCGGGTTTATAAATTTCAATCCTAACCCGAACATCAACCCGACCCAACCTTTTCGGGCTGGGTTCGGACCAACCCGGCCCAAGTTTCAGCCTTAATAAGGAGACCTCCGGCGGCGACTCTCCTCTTCTCTTCTGCTTCTCTTCTCTGATTCTTCTCTTCTCTTCTTCTCATCTGGTCTCCATTGACGGCGACAGGTATGACCATATGTGGCAGATGGCAACTCTACCCCGTTCAATGATTTGTCTTCTCTCTCTCTCTCCCTGCGGGGAAGTTACGCAGAGTCCGGGACATAAATCCGTATCCTCAGTGATTCAGTCCTGCTTCATCTGCTCACAGAGCCTCAGACCCAGACCCACCCAGAAACCAGGGTCCTTTAAGTTTCAACGAGAAAAAAACAACTGAAAACCCTCCTGTTAAAAACGGGTTTCCTTCCTGATTCCAACTATAGCAACAACAGCAGAACAGTGAGTGTTGCTTTTTCGAATTTCAATCTCTTTCGAATTTTGATTAATTTCTGATCTTCTCATCTGTTGATCACTGAAAATTTTGTATCGATCCCATGAGCTCAGCATGTTCTGATTCTCTCTGCAGTTCGAATTCTTCTATCTTTGATTCTGTTGTTCGAAATTTGTGGTTTTTTTTTGTTTTTTAATCTCTAGGGTTATTCTCTGAAGAGGTTTTGAACGCTTTATTGCTGGAAGAATCAGTTTTAAATAGGATTTTGAAAATTTCGATTTCTCTCCCTCTGGAAAGAGTATTGAACATTGAGTTAACATCGATGAAATCGTTTGTTTAGAGAGGGAGAGAAAGTGAGCGCCAAGGACCATCAGAAGAAAACAATGAGAGAGAACGAAACGTTGAATTTCTGCTAACCGACAGAGATTCATTGCAGAGAAGGCTAGTGGAATCATCACAGTTAATTGAAGGTTTGAGAAGAGAGGCCAGGGAAGAGTTCTCCTTCACTCTTTCTTATCTCACAGTTGCGGACCTGGTGGAGGTTCTTCTCCTTGAAGGTAAGCAAGTTCGTTCCATTTTGCACATGTTCTTGGTTTGATCCTCATCAAACTTCAGTCTTTCTAGTTGCTTTGACATCAATAGATTGGGGGCTTTGCTAATCTTTTTTTTTGGTCATGAGTTACATTTCTGATTTTGTTTCTTTCAACTTCACTACTTATTCATACTGGTTCTTAATATCGTTCCTGGTTGTAACTCTGGTGCAATGGAGAGATACACTTTACCGTTCGGGTTCTGTTCAAGAGTCCTTTCTGGGTATTCTGTTTTGTCATGGATTGTTTCTTCCATGCCCCTAATGTCATTTATAAATTTAAGATTGTTCCTTAGCTTAATCTACTGAATGTGTGGATTTTCTATATGTGCTTTTCCTTCCCACCATCTGGGTTCTGAAATCAAGACGTTGATTTTAGTTTTTTTACGTTTTTTTCCCTCAAAACTAAGACGTTGATATCTTTTTTCTTATAGTTCTTTTCTTCTGTTTAGTTTAAGTGTAAGTGGTAAGAGTAATTTTCAGTAATGAATCCAAGCAAAAGTTCTCATGGTAGAAGCAACAAGTTCGATTGGAGTCGGACCTTCTCGCCATTGGAAGTGGGAGGTTGAAATGAGAATATGAGATTTAAAGATTCAATTTGTGAGTCTTCTTGGATTTGCAGAGGTTCCCAGACAATTTTACATCAAAAGAGTGATATTTGAATGGATTTCTATCTAGATATAACTTGACTGTGCCTTCTGTTCTTATTCTCCTTATTTCTCTCTTCCTGCAGTCTACATAAAGAGGTTTGTGTGGAGCTACTTGATCCACCAATGATAGTATCAAAGAGTGGACATCCAATAGTATGTAAGTTTTCTGGGAGATATCCAGAAAGCTATGCAAACTAAGGTTTTGCTGGCTACTTCGGATATTAGACAGTTCCCAAGTTCAATATCTGTCTTTTCCGCAAATACAAAACTTTCTCATTGTAAAATCATGGTTATCTTTAGAATCTAACCAATGCAGATAAAGGAAAATCCGGCTTCATAGCTTTGCCTTTTGTAGTTTTCATTGCAGTATGTTGAACCTTAATTATATGCTCCACTTTTGCCTGTTTAGACTAAGTGACCGGTATGCAACCATGGCATCTTTTATTGTGTTCTCTCAAATTTTCATGGTTAACTTTGGGTTTTATTTCAGAGAATGGTTTTAGTGGGAACTTTTTTAAAGCTTTCTTGTTGATTTTTCTATTTCTGGAGTACATCATAACTTCTGATTTGTTTATGTTTTGAGATCCTATTGCTTGTTCGATCATCACAATAGGAGTGATCAAATGCTTGGAGTATTAAAAACCAATTATCCCCCTTCCTTTTTCAGAACAAAACAGAAATATGATCTTAATTGGAATTCCTTTGATGAAAACATACTGCAGACCTTGAGTTGCAACTTTTTCCCTTTTTGGTTTAAGTATGTCTAGTTTTAATTTACATGAGCTGATTGTCTCCAAGGAATAGCTAAACTTTGAAAAAATAAGCTTGAGTGGATCACCCTAGTCTTGCCAAGGGAGTAACTCAAGGCTCAAGCCTTAACTTAAGGCAAAGTTTGCATGCCTAAGCCAAATAGAGGATGGCTCAACCCAGTTCAGCTCATCGACAATTTACGAGAATAAAAGTAACTACTCAGAAACATGTAAAATACAACTTATACTTAAGATTGCCGTTTCTTTATGAGAATGTTCTGTTAAGTCTTTCTTAAAGAGAACAAGAAAGAGCAAAAAATGAGATAGGATTTAGTTAACACTTTCTTTACATTTTCTCGGGTGGGAAACAAGGTTTATCAAAAGGGCTAAACAAATAGTTAATTTGGGAGATGATCTAGATGATCCAAGCTCAGAGTTGGTTTCCATGTTTAACTTGGAAACTATTGTTCTATATACTAATTGGTAACATAGCCTAGTGTAAATAGAAATCTAATTGCAGATATCTAATAAAAGAGGAAGATGCTTGTTTAAGTTAAATTAGAAAGTGGATTTTATTTTTGTTGAAGGGTAAATAAAGTCAAGAAAAATCTTTAACATGGGTAGTGAAGTAATTAGGATTTAAATTATTTGTGCTTTTAATATTAGAATAAATAGATAAATAGATTTTTTTGATAGATAGATGGATATTATTTCTATACAAAAAAGTTAAGTATTTTTTATCATTTCTTTCGTATTATTTTTTATTAATATTGTTCATCTTTTGTCTCAGCCTGCCTTGCCCCACTTTGTGTTTTTTATGCCAACCCCACCCAACCTGCTCTATTTAGTCATACTAGAGCTTCACAATACTTAATACCTTAATCAAGGCATTTTTCAGTTCTTATCTCTCATCTTTTAGTTTATATGTAAACTCTCTGCGCCATCTCCTGCTTAGAATTTACTGGAAGATATGAACTTAGGTGAAGCTTCTTTGGAAAACTTGCAACTGATGTGCACAATGGGGTAAGAGAGGAGAGGGGTGTGGCAAAGAAGGGGAGAAATGAGAAATAGGATTTTCCTTTCTTTCTATTTTATTTCTTTTTTCCTTTCTGGATTTTAATGGCCAAATTTTTCGTTAAGGAGAACATTGACACTGTTACCTTTGCTAATCAGACGGGCAACTAAAGTAACTCCCACTAGGCACTAGTTTCTTATTTTTCCCCTTGCACATTCACATCTTTACTTTCTTTTGATGTTTCCTTCACAGCTGATTTTCTTTTTTATTGGCAGCGGCTTTATTCATGGAGATTATGGAAATCAATACTACAGCCAATTAAATTGGTGACACAATGGATCTCACTCCATTCAAGCTTGACATTGACGAGCTAATAAATGAGTTTTCTGAGGTTCTTTTCTGGTTTTAGTGTGTTTCACATCCCCCCTCCCAAATCAAACTTTTTACTGCTGTAGTCTTTTGGTGGTGGTGCAGTTATGTTTGACAAATTTATATGAATTCCAGACTGGATCAACAACTTTGGCTGATATGAAGAGAATATGGTTATCTCGGAAGTTCACGTATATATATGAGGGTAGACCTAAAACCAATCTAGTTTTCTTTATGCAATCACTATATGCCCATTCGATTGGTATGATGTCTCACCTTTTCCTTTTCCTTTTCTTTTTCTTTCTTTTCCCATAAAAAATGAATAAAATTGTTGAAATAGCTCCTGTGAAAATCATTCTTTGAGTGTGCCACTTAAAAGAATGAGATATTCCTATAAGATGCCACTTTATAGATTGCTTTACGCTGTGTTTGGTTTGAAAGAAAAGGTAGGGAAAGGAAGGGAATTCCCTACCTTTTCTTTCAAACCAAATGCAGCCTTATTGATTAGGAATGTGTAAATGCATTTCTCTCTTCGTTGAATAAATCCAATCTGTGGGATTTGAACTGTCTGATGACAACATTATAGAAAATAACTCATCTATTGGTGTTTACAAATGCATTTCCTTAGCAAACTCAACCAGTATTGGTTGAACTGGTAGTTCTGATATTCCATTTATATAACTCCAAACTAAGCTATTTTCTATTACCAAAAAAACTACTCTATTTTCTCTTGAAATGTTTTCTTGATCTAAGTATACTCTCTTCAGATCTTTTAAGCTTTGAGGTTTTTCCAAAAAATACAGCCATTGGATTGTTTGTTTTTGGTTTTAGAACATCACATCTCTTAATTCATTGTTTCTTTAACCCTAATGATCCACTCCTGCGCAATCTGGTACATACGATATCCAGATCTCAAGTACACCATTCACACATTTGTATGGTTCTTGATTGGGATCCTTTATTTTCATTAGAATTCTTTTATGTTGATCAGCACAAGTTATTCTTACTACTTTCGGTAAGAGTTCAGTCTTCAAAATCCCTGCTTCAGTTGTGAAGAGAATCAAGAAAATAATGAGGCTTTTTGTAGGAGCCAACGGACTTTAAAAAGGACCATTTGATTAAGTGAAAGACTATGTGAAAGAACAAAGGGGAAGGGGGTTAGGTTTGGCTAGAGTTTTAGTAAAAAACTCCCTTCTTTTAGGTAAGAGGTTGGGATAAAGACATAAAGTTATCAAAAGCATCCATGGAGTGATGACCAATGGTTAGAATGCAAGTTTTAATGCTAGAGTGTCCTTAGTTTCCCCTTCAAAGGCTATTTGTTCCTTGCTTCCTGCCTTTTTGCAATATATTAGGCAACAGAACAAGATATTGGGAAGACTTTTGGTATGGCTTTGGATTCAGTAGACTGTGTCTTATGTGAAGGACATTTGAAATCTGGTAATCATCTATTACTTCTGTTAGAGTTAGCCGAATAAGGGTAGATTAGTCAACTCACCTTGGTTAAGTTATGAGCTTATGTGGCAGTCTTATTAGAGGTTCTCTGTCCCATACTTAAGTAGGGGCAGTTTAGTCCTTGTACATTTAATTAGAAGCCTAATCACTATTAAGAGGTCGACTGATAG